GGTTATGGACCAGGAGGGAATCGAACCAGTCCTCTTCGTACCCAGATGCGGTGTGCTATCCACTACACTACCAGTCTTTATGTACAGCGGAACAGCCTGGAAGGCTGAGGGAAGCGAACCACTCCTTTTCATATCCGGATGCGACGTGCTTTTCACTACACCACTTGTCTTTGTGTGTCAGGTGAAACCTGGTAGACCCACTCATTGACCACTTTTATATTAGTTAAGCAATTATTTTTTACAACTTCGTTCATCCACTTCTGCGGTTACTTACACGACAAACTCTGTATCGTTAGAATCTTCTCGGCAACTCTAAAAAAGTAAAAAACAATTTTGTAAATGATGCGTAGTTTCTAGAAAACTGCCAGAAAATTTGCGCTGGTATGGTGCAGCAATGTTTGGAGCATTCCCTCTGGATATGAGTCAGTACAAATCGTTATTTGGTGGTTCACGTATTCCGCAGAAACAAAAAGATTGGCTTTACCACTGCGGTGATTCAAAACATTTTATTGTTTTGCGTGGCGGCCAAATCTATGCTGTTGATTTGTTTGACAAGGACGGTAAGTTGCGGGGTTTTTTTTTTCAAATTTTATAATTAGTCTACAGCTCTTGTTTAAATGGGAGCCCGTAACCTCAAAATTGAGTTGAGAAAGCCATCCTGAGAGGAAGGAGGTGCGAGCGATTTGGTTACTGTTGATAAAGGGCTTGCATCATAAGCCATTTTCAAATTCTTCTATCAACTCCAGGGGCAAAAGAGGGGAAAAGTTTTGTATTATGCTAGTAAGAGTATTCTCCAAGCATTTTTGAATGTGGCGAAATTGCTGGCAGCAATTTCCTACCAACACAAGTCGTAGACAATCTGCTTCCTGGGAGTTAGGCTTAGACCTTCAAATATTTTTGTTTTATCATGTGTCAGTAGATTGCTGTTGTAGTGTACCTACAGAAGACAAGCCTTAACTTATTTCAGATTTTACTAATATCAACGTTTTAGTGCTGTAATTATTTTGGCCTTAAAAAAATTTTAGTAATTTAGCAAATTTCAGTAATTTCTACTTATCAGTAACTCCTGGTGCTTAAATATGATATTTTAGTAATTTAGCGATTTAGAATCTACCAGTAACGGTGTATTGCTTATATATGAAGGAGTTTAAATTTGTTGAATTTAGTTTAAATTTTTAAAGGAGTTTAAATTAAGTAATGAATTTTTGTTAGTGAATTTTTTGTTAGTGAATTTAAATTTAGGCCGCTAAGATTGGGTTCCGCAGTGATTGATTACTGAGGTTAGATTACGATTGTTCAGGTTTTCACGATAAACTTGCTAATATAGTAAGTTAAAAGATTCACCAAACTATAGGAAACTGAGGTACGTGAAGTTTGGCGATTATCACAAGCCTGTTATATTCCTCATTTTACTCCTTGTTTCTTTCGTACAGGAACGATTGCGCCATCAGAGCAAATTCATGCATGCTTATCCACCATATTAGGTGAACAAAGCAGCTGTGAATCGGAGAACTGCGTTGGATCGCTGACTTCACTGGGACGGGATCAGTGGGCTGAGGTTGGTTAGTATGGTTTTTGCCGGATTTTTTGATTCTCTTGATTGTAGTGGATGTTAAAAAGCTCAGCTTTTGAGCTTGAATATTTGACAAGAAGTAGATGATACATCTAAAAAACGAAGAAAAAAAAATAAAGCAAAGAAACGAACGGTAGGATCGTCGGCATTAATTTACAAATTTTGTAATTCTCATCTCCTATCTTCCTTTTTATTTTTCTCCTGCTATCTATTATTAATACACGCTTCTGTTGACTGTGATTATTAGCAGTAATCATGAAATATTTGTTGTTTACGATGATTTCACGAAACGATAACTGAGCAGGGTATTAAAAAAATCTAGCTTCAGGTACTGTTAGAAGCCAAATTTCCTCAAAAACCATAAAATTTGTTTTTTTTCCGCAAAGTTACAGGCCAAAAATCATTTGGAATTTGGATTGATTATAATAATTTTAGAAAAGCAACATAATTTTGAACAGAGAAATGCGGAACTCAAATATTTTCTGGTATTTTAGGCTCGATCCGAGCTCTTTGCAATTGGCCAGAATGCAGTGAATTTGACACTGATCGATAGTGCTTTGTTTGCTGTTTGTTTGGATACAGAAAAAAGCGATGATCCAAGGCGTCTTGTTCAAGGGCTACTAGTTGGTGACGATGCTTCGAACAGGTAGTTCTTTCTGGTAATTTTTTATGGCTGATATATTGTAATGTGCGAAGGAGGACTAGAAGGCCTGTGGGGTGGTAGGGAGTTTTGCTACGGAGGGCACAAACCCAAACCAATAAACAATGATTTATTGAAAAACGGCACAGAGAAAAAATCAAACCGCGTAAGATTCAGCAGCAACAGCAACAACAGCAGCAGCAGCTCCAAGCTGTCACCGTACAATATGCAGAGATGGGAATGGCATTAGCTCCAAGCTGTCCCCGCACAGTTATTTTGTACAGCAAAAACAATCACCATTTCATTTCTAATCACATCATTACATATTACGGAGGGGTGGAACTCGAGTCAGGAGACGGGACATTTTCATATCACACGAAATCGAAGGGCAACTGGGCAAGACGAAGAGAGTTTAGCCGGCAGCTTCGTTTCTTTGCCGTTAACACCTTGTTCCTTTTACAACTACAATCATCCAAGATTATGATGCACATAGTGAGCTTGGGGATCAGTGCGTCGAGATCGGACGTGATGCTGAACACGAGTATGCAGATAGGCGGTGTTGACCTGGAATAACTTGATAATTAAAAATTGTATTTGTCATGTTATTAGGAAAATGTGATGCTCTGGATCTTTCAATTAGAGATTGTGTGAAAAACTGCTCTGCAAAAAAAAGAAAAAAAGAAAAAAACTGTGTATGTTTTGAGCTGTAATTGAAATTGTGCATTTTCAGATGGTTCGATAAGTGCTTTCAGTTGATTGTTGATGCAAATGGGATGGCAACGATAAATTTTGAGCATAGCTGGGGTGACGGTGTTGCAGTACTTCGCCTCATGGAAGAATCATTCCGTGATGCAAATCGAAATCATTTTGTCGAGCCCAAACAACTTGTTGATAAAACTACAAATCCAGAACAGCATTTCCGACGAATAGGTTAATTTTAGACTGGAAATCGAAGCCAGAATCTCTGTATTCACTATCTGTGAGAAATTGTGGCTCTCGGAAGTACCCCGAGTGGTAGCAAATGCCATTAGAAAGCTTCGGTTGCAGTGCTGCCGAAGGCCTCTTTTTTCTTGGCAGACCCCCTACCCCACTGTCCTCTACGACACAGGCATCAGTACTGCAAAAGTCTGAGTCTAAAGCTAAAACTAAAGAAAATTCTCTTCTTCACCCCTCCCACCCACCCCCCCCCGCTCCCC